CCTACCAGAATCAGGTTGTCTTGTTTTCTGCCGCTGAGTTTTAAGCTGTTGACATCATCTATATTTAAGTCTCCATGAGATGTGTTGCTTGTTTTTCTCCCGGACCGTTGCTTGTGTTTTTATCCTCTTTATAGGCTCTTTCTTAGAGCAAAAATGTTGACTTTGATGAAGTCCAGATTATCTGCTTTTCCTTTTCTGGCTTTAGTGTTTGGTGTCTAGGAACTTCCTGCCTCACACGATATATTCTGATGAATTTCTTCTGTGGTTTTTTTCCTAAATGTTTTCTATTTTATAGCCATGGTTCATTTTGCATCATATTATTGTCATTATTATTATTAATATAGTTTTTTGAGATAGGGTCTCACTATGTAGCCCAGGCTGGCCTCAAACTCAGCGATCCTCCTGCCTCAGCCTCCCAAGTGCTGGAATTACAGGCATGCGCCACCACGCCCAGCTCGGATCTAACTACTGAACAAGGCTTTTCCACTGTAGGCATTTGTGCTATTCCTGCTCCACATGGCTTTAACAATCCCTCACCAAAATTCTGATGTGCAGCCTTGTCTCCACTGTCCTGGGCCCTTGCTTTAGTGACAATGGAAATTAAAACTATAGCACGAATTTGCAGGACAAAACTTCACTTAAAATTAAGAGAAAGGGAGGGGAGCCCAGCTCTGATGAAGATCATGCTGCTTCCCTGGAAGGAAAGTTAACAGCAAGGGATAGGGCTGCGGGCTGGTGCAGGGCTTTGGTCTGGGCCACCGCAGAAGCAGGGGCAGCTTCTGAGGAGGACGGGATGTGATCAAATGTGGTGAGTAGCGCCATCGTCCTGGCCCCTTCCTGCAGCAGCTCTGGAGCCCTCTTTCCTGAGTGTCTTTAGCTGCGCTGTCTTGGCTGCCTCGATCTCCTGAGTGGATTCAAGGCATTCTCTTCCATGGTCATTTTGATTTTGGGAAGAGTGAGAAGTCGCACAGTGCCAGAGCTGGAGAATAAGGTGGCTGAGGACATAAGTCGCGTCTTTACGAACTGCCTTTCTGCTGGATGGTGCTCAGCGGCAGCGGTCACTGTATTTCTGATCACAGCTTGTAAAGACCCTCAGGAAAGAGGCCTGCAGAGCTGCTGCAGGAAGTGGCAGGGACTCCGGGATAAGTGTGCTGAAAGGCAGGGGGGTATTTTGATGAGATTCATGGCAGTGTGTTTTGTACTGTAACACGTTTTTATTTAAACCTTCGCAGTAGTTTTGATCCTACCACAGCTGACACAGGCCAGGGTCTGGCTGATCATTTCCTCAGTCCTGGTTCCGCAGCTCTGAGGGAGCTTCATGGCTGAGGGAACGGAAGCTCTGTTCCCACGAAATGAGCCTCTCTCGGGTGGTTTCGCTCTGAGGGTCTCTGCTTTTCTGGATTCTGAGTCGTTACAGGTCTAGGCAGTGGCTGGAGATTTCTGTGTTGACCCAGGAGGAGTCTGGAACTGCACATTGTAAAGACTGATAATCCGGGCCAGGGATGTAGCTCAGTGGTTCCCCTGCCTGCCTCTCAAGCACAAGGTCCCAAGCTCGATCCCTGGTACAAAAAGAAAGAAAGAAAGAAAAAGGAGGAAAAAAAAACTGTGTACAAGACTGATAATCAGACGTCCCTGACTTCTTCCAGGGCTGAGACAGGCAGGAAGTTAGGGCTGATAAACCAGGTGTCCCCAGCTTTTGGCCCCACACTCCCCAAATGATTAACGTGTATGTGTGGCACTGAGAAGAGTTTGACCCAGTTTTACAAAACAAAGGTCAAACTTCATTTTATTTTCAGTTACGCATTGGGCCATCAGTCCAAAGAGTCACGAGTGTTAGCAAAAGCTGCTTTGAAGTTCCTGTTTGTCGCAGATGCCGATCCATCGATGGATCGGGGTGCTTTGAGTATCAGGTGACAGGCCCAGGAGTTGGTCACCTTCCATTCCTGGTGGCCTGGGGCTGTGTCAGCATTGTCCACATTTTCATTGAGCTCCGCAGCTCTTTTTTGCCTCCCTGGGACTGCCTCTGTAGTCCATGAATGGTTCAGCAGCGTGCTGAGTTTCAGAGCCCCAAGGCCGCTCTGGGATAGCGATTCCCACCTGGCCCTCTGGGCTCACACTCTGGATGGCCCGGTTCCACCCAGTGTGCCAGGGGACTCCGAGCGGCCCAGGAGCCTATGTGTGTTGGTACTGGCTGTGTAGGCTCGGGGGGAGAATGTTTGCTCTGCTCTAAATTAAGCTCTGTGTTGACATCATTAACTCTGAAGTTTTCGAGGCACACTGCTTTCTCCGAAGGTTTCATAAGTGATCTACACCTTGCTGAGCTCATCAGAGCAGCTGGAAGCCTCCTGTGATCCTTTCCCACACCTGCCCGGCCCCTCCTGCCTGAAACTTAGCTCCTCACCCCGGGCAGCAAGGCTCTGGAAACATTTCCTGGCTAGCACATTGTCACCTCACAGCTTCAAGGGACTCAACAAAATGTCTTTCTCCTCTTCTCCGTCTTTTGTTTATTTGGAGGCTTTTTTTTAGACTTACTGTGTACTCCAGGGTGGCTTTGAACTCACTCCTCCATAGCCCAGTCTGACCTTAAACTCCTGGCGATCCTCCTGCCTCAGCTTCCCAAGTGCAGGGATCATAGGTGTGTGTGTGCTGCCATGCCCAGCTCATTCTCTTCTGGCCAGGTCCTAGAAAGCTGCAGAGCCCTGGGTTGTCTTGGGCACCCACTTATCTGGCAGCGTTGGCATTTAGAGGCTGAAGAAGGACAGCACCAGGGAGGTGATTGGAGACCATGTAGAGAGCTTGCTGTGTGTGGGCCCGGGGGTAGACCAGAAGCCCCAGCCATGCAGAGGTCAAGGAGTCCATGGAGAGAGAGGCCTTTCCCTGGCACAGGACTTAGCCCATGCCGTCCCTTAATTGCTGCCTTAGCTTGGGCAGGTGTGAATTCCAGAAGGTCACTTGGTGACAGGGGTGTGGAACCATGGCCTGTGTCACTGTGGCATGGGTCAGAACAGTCTGTGCAGGGCCGTCAGGTCATCCCGTGAGTCAGGCAGGCCCCATCCAGCTGTCAGTGCCAGGAGGAGGTGGCACAGGGTGACTCATTCAGGAGCTGGCAGGTGCAGAACCAGAGACCACGAGGGCACTGAGCGCCTCCACTTCCACAACAAGGGTGAGCAGCCCTCAGGCCACAGCCAGGCCGCGGGCAGCGAGACAGGTTTGTGTGGACACATGCTGAGGGCCTGAGAGGGGAGCTTGGATGGATTCATTTTTGTTCTTTTATGAAATTACTATCTAGGGCCGGAGATTTAGCTCAGTGATGCCACTGCCTGCCTTGCAAGTGCAAGGTCTCGAGTTCGATCCCTGGTACCAAAAAGAAAAAGCAATTAGAATCTATTTAGCCGGACCTAAGTAGCACACACCTGTAATCCCAGCACTCTGGGAGGCTGAGGCAGGAGGATCATGGGTTCAAGCTCAGCTTGGGCAATTTAGCAAGACCCTGTCTCAAATTTTTATTTAATTTTTTTGTAAGGAAATGATTTCTTTTTCACTTTTTTTATTTGTATTAGTTCATGTTTGTAGTACATAATAACTGCATTCCTTGGTACATGGGTTCATTGGACATAACACGTCTTTCTTATTTTTACAGCCCTTTCCCCTCCTCTTCCTCCCTCCATCTCAAAAATTTAAAAAATAATTTTTAAATGGGCTAGAGATGTAGCTCATGGGAAGGCCCAGAGTTTAATCCCCAGAACCGTAAAGAAAGCGGGGGGTTGGGAGACAGAGGGGCAGGACGGAGGAAAGCAGGGCAAAAAGTAATGTGTATGCATTACAGAAAACGTAGAAGACATGAAGAAGCGAAACTAAGAAAATTAGCTAAAAGACAGTTGTCATTGTCTTGGAGTGTGCGCTCCCAAGATGTTTTTAAAAATGGGATCACTCTGTGTTACTGCTTTAAAAAATTTGTTTTTAACTCTAACAGTAAAGTGAACATTCTCCAAGTCTATTGTTTCTCATAGAACATGATTTCACAACGCAAATGTATCATCACTTATTCGACAAATCCCCACGTGACAGACTTACAGGTTGTTAAGGTTTTTGCTGTTAAGGTTATATGGTTGTGGCAAACATCTTTTGTCTACAGGCAGGACTAATTCCTAGAAATAACACATTGGGTCAGAACGTGAGGTAGTTTTTAGCCTTGGGAGTTTTTGTTTTGTTGTTGTGTGTTTGTTTTGGTTTGTTATTTGAGACAGGGCCTCCATATGTAGTTTAGGTCAGCCTTGAACTCGCTATGTAGCCCAGGCATAGCCTCCTGCCTCAGCCTGCTGAATGCTGGGATTACAGGCGTGTGCCACCACTCCCGGCTATATGAGTATAAATGTATCCTTTTTGTGTTGTTTTGCAGCACTGGGGATTGAACCCAGGACCTTGTACATGCTGGGCAAGTGCTCCACTGCTGAGCTGCACTCCCAACCCATCTTTGCTTTTGACTAACGTATTTTGTTGGCTCGGACAGGTGTGATCCGGCCCTGAATTTCCCTTGTCAAGGACAGTTAGGCGTCAGGACAGCATAGAAGGTTGTGGGAATGTGGGTGAAGGCTGCAGAGCTTCTCAGAGCCGAACCAAGAAGTGGCAGAGAGGCTGGGAGGAGCAGGCAGTGGGCGGCTGCCCTGCCCGGGAGTGTCCTCACATGCCTGGCCAGGAAACAGGAAGAGAGCACGTCCCAGGCAGCCTGGCCCGAGCCCATTTACGAGCCGGGTGCTGCTTCCTCCCCAGCTGCGCTCAGGACACTGTGTTCTGCACTCTACGGGCCAGGAGCTTGCCCGGCCCCAGGATGCCCCATAAAATCCGCCTGGGCCCTACACAAGGCTTCATATTCAGAGGCTGGTCCTGCCTGCCGCCCAGGCCCACTGAGAGCAGGGGCTGGGCCCAGAGCACCTGGGAGGGGAGCCCCAGGGCTGCTCCTGCCACCCCTGATTGGTCTGTCTGTCTTCTTGGGTTCACAGAGAGAGAAGAGTTAATCCAGAGTGTCCTGGCCCAGGTGGCGGAGCAGTTCTCCAGGTACAGAGTCCCCTCTGTCCATGCCGGCCTCTCGCGGCACAGGAGGCCCCTGGCTCCAGGCTGGCCCCAAGCTGCTGGGCACTGAGATGCCCCGGGAAGCATCAACCTCACCCAAGGGCCAGGGGGTGGGCCCTCTTGGATGACCTCTGAATGCAAGCGTTTTCTTGACTGGCTCTCAGGGGCTCAGGACGGGCTGTGGACATCGGCCCTGCCTAAAAATGGAGCTTGGTCCCAAGCCTGTGCCAGTGGTGGGATACTTTCCGCTCCAAGTCCCTCGCCTCTGTCAGTCAGAATTTTCAGTTTCTCAGATTGATTTCCCTTCAGCATTGTTCTGTCCTGGGGGATTACAAGGAGGGAAAGGGCAGCTGGGGGGTGTTTGTTAAAGCCCGAGCCAGGCATGGTGGCCCACACCTGTGATCCCAGAGCTCTGAGAGGCTGAGGCGGGAGGATCTAAAGTTCAAGCCCAGGCTGTGCAACTTAGTAAGACCCTGTCTCAAAAAAATCAACTAAAAAAGCCGGGGATTTGGCTCAGTGGTTCCACTGCCTGCCTCACAAGCGCAAGCTCCCAAGTTCGATCCCCGGTACCAAAAAAAAAAAAAAAAAAACCAAAAAAACTAAACAAGGGCTGGTGGCAGGGGACAATAGCCCAGTACAAAAGCCCTGGGATCAATCCCCAGTATAGGGAAAAAAAGAAGAGCTGATGCATTGCTGAGCCTAACGGTTCGAGCTCGTGAGTGTCCTACGGGGTCCGCGCCCCAAGGGGCAGGGTGCGGGGTTGGGCCAGGCCAGCTCAGGGCACAGAGGCCTTCACGTCACCCCCAGGCCTGGTGTTCCAGGGTTCTGTGAGGTTGTGACTGAGGGTCCCATGGGTCGTGCTGCATCTTTTCTTCCTTTTTTTCCCAGAGCGTTTAAGATCAACGAACTGAAAGCAGACGTTGCCAACCACCTGGCGGTGCTGGAGAAGCGCGTGGAGCGTGAGTGCCCGTTTCCGAGGGGTCAGTGCCCAGGGCGGGGCGGGTGTGCTCTTGTGTGCGGGGCTTGCAAAGCGCCTTTGCTGTTCGCCAGGCGAGCGCCACAACACGGTGAAGCCTCACGCTTGTGTTTCAAAGCCACACAATGCATGGGCTGCGTGCGTGGGCGTGCGTGGGCGCCCGCGGGGCACCGCACTTAGGTCCCATCTGGGCCCTGCGGACATGCGTGTGGCTTCCTGGCCCGTGGCCGTGTGGGGAATGCGTCTGCATGTTGTTATCTTGGATTCCGATGAAAACCCGCCTGAGAGCACAGGAGAGCCTGTCCCAGGCGCAGTTCAGTGAGTGAAAAGCCCGAATTCTGCAGGAAAACAGCTGCAAGCCGGGCTGCCCCGTGCTCTCTCCCTGAGGAAGGGGTGGATCCTTGAGCCCCGCACCTGGCCATTCTGTCTTCCTCTCCCGGCACTGGAAGTTCCTCGGCATCCACACAGGGCATGGCCACTCACAGGCACCTTATTTGTGAGCGCAGGCTGAGCAAACAGCACCTCCCAAAGCACCTGCCCACCCGCATTCCTCAGATCCACCGGATGTCACTTCTCACACCTGGGCCCAACTGCCTGTGAGTTTTCAAGAACAACGAAAGCATTCAGGATCGTGCAGACCTGATCCGTCGACATCAGTGAAAGCAGGGTTTCCAAGGTCACTTCTCAGCTCGTGTCAGCTTTTAAAACCCGCTCAGCCGTCGGATGATGAGGAAGCCACGGAGAGACTGAGTGACTCAATCCAGTTCACATGGCAAATCAGACAAATCAGTAAAACTGGCCCTGGCGCCCAGGCCTGGCGGCTTCCTCATTCCCTGACCTCTGCCTCTTCTTCCGGGGCAGGTTGGCCTCCTGCGTGCCCATGGGGAGGAGCCCCTCGAGTCCACAGTGCGGTTAGACCAGATGGGATCTGAGGGGACCTGGCACGGCTCCCAGGCCGGGCAGCAGGCTGGGCAGTACCGAGGGCACAGGTGCCTCCGTAGCTTATCCGACACCCCTGCCGGCCCTGCATCCCCCAGTCCTGAAGACATCAGCTGCCTCTTCAGATTCTGAGTCTGGACAGAGCCGGGACTTCCGGCCAAGACTGCACAGCCTGGGGCAGGCACAGCAGCAGTGCAGAGGTCAGCGCCTGCAGCCGCACTCCGAGGGCCACAGGAGGGTCTGCCCAGGCCTGCCCCTGAGGTCCCTGGTGCTCCCTGGCTGGGACCCCTCAGTCCCCACCTGCCTGTCTTCTCCACGTGTCCCGCCTGTGACTCTGTCTCAAGACCCCTCCCCCAGCTGGCCTCAGGGCCCCCAGAGCTGGGGGCCAGGCGAGTCTCTGCTCTGATTTCATCTCTGTCTGCTTCAGCTAAAGTTTGAGGGTGGATACTGGGCCTGGACCAGCGCTTCCTGGCCACTAGCTGACCCAAGATCCCAGAAGACGTCCACGGTATAGGTAGCTTTCTGGGGGCCCACAAGAAGGACCTCTGAACAAAGAGGTGGTGACGTGGCAGCTGAAGGACGCATGCTCAGGTGTGGTGATCCCGTGGCAACCCACCCGCCTCGGCCAGGATGGCCGCTGCCCTGCCCCAACGCACACACTTCCGGCCTAAGTTTCCTTCCCACGCCCGCCGTGCGGGAGAAGCGGAGCAGAGAGTTCCCTGGCCCAGAAGTGACCCACCAGGCCCACAGCTGAGATGGGCAGGAGACACAGGACAGGCCCGGAGAGGCCTCCCGGAGGCCACCTCTGGACAGAGGCCAGCGCGGCTGCCCTCACTGGGTGGGGGCTCATGGGGAACCAGCGAAGTCCCCAAGTTGTGTTGTTCTTTTAGAAATCATCCCTTTTGACTGTTAGCACATTCTCAGAGCCACACTTGATGCCAAGGGGATAGGACGACGTCCGGGTACCCACTTTCCGTGTCAAATTTGAGTAATGAAGTAGCTGCCTTCCACCCCCACCCCGAGCACAGCTCTCACCTCAGAGCCTTTGCCACCTTCCCCCGTGGAAGCACTCCAGTGTGACTTTCTTGGGGACGCCCCCCACCGTGGGTGACGTGCAGCGGCCTGCCGGGGGCACACTTCCCAGCAGCACCCCAGGAACACAATGAAGTCCGGCTCCACGGATCCCTAATGTGCCTGATTGTTCTCACTGTGGGACAGCTCCTCTGGGTTAACTGCTGGGGGCATTAAGAAAAAAAGGCTTTTATCTTAAGGAGGTTTTGATCCTTGCCAGGGCTCCCTGCGTGTTCATGCACTGGGGTCACACCCTTCTTTTCTTTGGGGATAAAAGAAGTGTTTGCCTCTTACCCTCAGCTGGCAGCATGCGGCAAGATGCAGGCTGGCCCCAGGGACAGACGCAGTGGCTCAGCCTTGCCACGGCCATGCCCGGAGCTGGGTGACCCGAGTGCCAGGGTCTGGGCAGGAGCAGGAAGCCCTGTTTTGGGGCTGGGGACGCCTGGGTGGGCAGCTGAGCTCTGCTCATCTCGGTAACTCCCTGCTGTGTCTCTTTGTCACCAGTGGAGGGGCTGAAAGTTGTGGAGATCGAGAAATGCAAGAGTGACATCAAAGACATGAGGGAGGAGCTGGCGGCCAGAGGTAGCAGGTGAGGCCTGGGGTGGGCTCTGAGCGGCCTCCTGTCCCCAGAGGAAGGCGGGCGACTCCCTCCAGCCCCGGTTCTGGGGACATGGGCCTTTCTCCCTCAAGGCTGGTCACAGCAGAGGGAAAGGAGGAAAAGGGGCACTTGAGAGGGGTGACACTCCTGCGGGTCCAGGTGTCCCAGTGGTGTGTCCAGCCTGACAAGCATGAGCGTGGGTGCCTAAAGAAGGGATCTAAAGTAAGAGGACAGAGGCAGCTGGGTGTGGTGGCATCTGCCCGTGATCCCAGCACTCAGGAGGCCTAAACAGGAGGATCTCCAGGAGCTCAGAGCACAGGGGGTGGGGTCAAGAAGTGAGGAGGGGCCCTCTCTTGGGCAGCAGGGAAGTCCAGGTCCATCCCACATGATGGCCACTGAGTCTTCAGTGCCAACCCGCCAGTCACTCGGGCCAGCACATTTCAGAGCCAGGGGTCTGCACCTACCAGAGCCCATGGGGGACAGCAGGGGCCTGTGCAGCCCAGCAGCACCCCTGAGCAGCTCCCCTCCAGCGACACACAGAGAGACCAGTCATGCTGGGCCGTGGGGCTCTGTTCCAACAGAGGGGGGCGCAGCACACACTGGTTCCTTAGGGCCAGGGGAGCTGCAGGAGCACAGCATAGGGACCAAGAGCTCTGGGGCTTGTGACCTCTGGTTTCATCCCAAAGAAATGGCCTTGACCATGGACCAAACCCCAAGGGGGAAGCAACTGGAAGCCCAGGAAATGAAGGCAAAAACACTCGAAATGGAATGAAAAGGCACCGTGCCAGCTTCCCTGCTAGCTGAAGATGTTGGTTCCTATGGCAACAGAGCACAGAGAGAGGGGCCCACAGGCCACGGGGGTCAGCAGCACCCAGCAGCCACCTGTTCCCAGGGCTGTGTGCACCAGCACTGGGCTGGATTCTAGCAGTCCAGCACCCGCCTGGTGAAGGCTTCTCCTGTTTCCAGGAAAGGGTTAAAGCAGCGAGGAAGGATAATCATGCTATCCAGTTTCTTCTGCACCTCCGACTGTTGTGGCAGCTCTGATGAGCTTGGCAGGTGTGGGATGAAGGGGAGGCTTGCGGCATGCCAGGACGGTAGTACCAAGGCTGTGTTTTTAAAAAGGAACAGATTCATTATTCTGAGCTTGAAAACGGGATGGGCATCGTGGTGCACACCTGTAATTCCAGCACTTGAGAGGCTGAGGCAGGAGGATCACTGCAAGTCCAAGGTGATCCTGAGTTCAAGGCCAGCCTCAATTACATAGTGAGACAAACAGACAAACAAAAGGAAAATGGAATCGGCTCAGGGTACAACTTCTGGACTATCCTGATGGGGTTTTGCGGCAGCAACCATAGTAACAATAGCCTGCAGTGCCCCAGTCTAAATCAGGACGCACAACCCCCCAGGTGTTTTTTTACGCATAGATATCTAGTATTGACAGTGCAACTAAAATTCACTGTCTTGCAAACTTTTTTTATTTACAGCATCATGAACAATAAGTACATTAACAAATTTTTCTTTGTTTGCTTTTTTTTTCTTTTTTGGTAACAGGGATTGAACTCAGATCCTTGTGCTTACGAAGCAGGTGGCAGAACCACTGAGCTAAATCCCCGGCCCTGTTTGTTTGCTTTTTGAGACAGGGTCTCGCTATGTAGTTCAGGCTGTCCTTGATCTCAGGATGTAGTCCAGGCTGGCCTCGAACTCTCAGCAGTCCTCCTGCCTCAGCCTCCCAAGAGCTGGGATTATAGGCGTGCGCCACCACCCCAGCTAAATGAACAATAAATTTTAACCAATGTATTGTTCTTAGGTTTTTTTTCCCAAAAGACCACAAGTTACTATTCTTTTTTCTTTAGCTCACCAGATGTGCTTCTTTTCCCTCATAGCTCAGTAAATGTTTTTTGCGTTGCCTCTTAGTACAAATACATGTGGTCTTTTTATTTCCCTTTTTCATTTGAAATCCCCCGCTTCACGTGTCTCCATAATGACCTTCATAGCAGCATAATGGTTCGTCATTTGGATGCACCGACATAGTGTAAATCATTTCCCATTGGAGGACTTCCAGGTGGCCCCTAGTTTGGTTTGATGCTGTTATAATAACAGATAAAGTGGTGACGAGAGTCTTTGTACGCAGAGCAGCTTGCTTGTGTCCAATCCTTTTAAGGTGAATTCCCCGGAGCAGGCGTGCGGGCATAGAGAATACAGATTTCATTTCTCTGTGATTGTCCTAGACCGTGTTAAATGGCTCTTCCAGTTTTAGCACAAATCCCATGAGCTCTCCGATACCCTGGCCGTGCACCCCGGCCGGGTGGATCTGACAGCCCGGTTCTCCAGCCAACTGGAGTTTGCCCACTTCCGGGCAGACTCATTCCCGTGGGGGTCCCGGATATGTGCAGCCCCAGGCCAAGGGCACCAGGCCTCACAGGCAGCTCCTCATGCACAGCCCCCAGGGCGGCCCTGCAGCCGATGCCCCAGACCCCGGGCTCGTTTCCTTCCGTTCTTACCTGGGATGCGTGATGCTGATGAGGAGGGAAAGTCAGAAGTCCCTCTCTCTGCTTTGTACACTGTGGACAAACTGGGCCCGGCCTGAGGCGCACCCCAGGGAGCAGGGTGAGGACATGGGCTGCAGCCACTGTGTGGAGGCCACAAGCTTTCTGTTCAGTACCAGGTGAGGCCAAGCTTGGGGGAGCAGCGCGGGATGAGTTGGTGGCGTTATCTGGAAAAGCGAGTGACTTTTCTTTAATGTGTTTTCTGAAAGCCTGGGTACAATGGCTGGGTCCCTGCAGGGCCTGCGGGGATTTAGCAGTGAGTGACACACATCTGTCGCTGCTCTCAAGACTTAGGCTACCATGGCACAGCGGACCAGGTGGGGCTGTGGGCTCCAGGTGCAGTTTGGCTGTTTCGCCTGGTTCTGCGTTGCTCACATCCCCGGTCCCTGTAAGGTGACCACATGGCTCAGGCCAGTGTAGCCCCTGGGCTCTGCTGCTTCTTTTCTTTTTTACCTTTATTAAGTTTATCGGTACATTTTAGGTATATAATGCAGTGACATTCATCGTTGGGATCTTGTACCTTTACATGGCAGGTCTTGGTTCTCATTTTTCCCCATTCCCCAGCCCTCCCTTCACCCCCTCCACCCATCCCTGATTATGAAGACTTTGTTTCCATGTTTTTCCTTTTCACACATTTCTTCTTTTCCCTTTTTACCTTTCCCCTCACTTCCTACTTCCTCTACTCTTTCAGACCTTTTCTTCCTATTACACAATATCAATTATATATTTTCATCTTTATTTACACTTTCGGTTTTTCACACCAGAAAAACTATTCAGGGTTTACATATGTGTGACATTAATTTTACTTAAGAGTATGGCCTCAAAGTGCATCCACTTAGCTATAAATCTCTCTGTTTTCTCATTCTTTATGGCTGAGTAGTACTCCATTTTATATGTAAAAATAAATCTTCTTTATCCAGTCTCCAGTTGATGGGCACTTGGGCTGTTTCTTGTCCTCAGGACCAACTGCCCCTGTAAGTACAGCTTTCTGGACAACAACAAGAAGCTGGCCCCTCGACGCGATGTCCCCACCTACCCCAAGGTAAGGTGAAGTCGTGAATTCCCAGCCCCAGCATGGTTCAGCCCATGTCCACAGCCCCAGGACCCAGGAACCAGCTCAGGAGGCTGGGTGCCCTTAGGTGGGGCTCGTTCTACCTGACTTAGTCAGCAGACATGTGCCCAGACCATAGTCCACTCTGCATGAAGACAGCAGCTCCATGCTGGTCTGTGCTCCATGGGTCCAACCAGCCCAGACCAATCCCAGTAAGAGCTGCCGCTGCACAGATCACCTAAAACACCACTTCATGCCCTGTCCGGAACAGCGCAGGTCTTAGGGGCCCCTTGGCTGCCGCACACAGGAGTCCTCTTGGTTAGGGAATCCGGCGCTGAATCTCCTACCTACGACTGGGGAGGGAGTGGTTTCCAACCACCAAGAGAGAGGGTCACCCTGACAGCAGCGGCTCAGCTGGCAAAACCCAGCCTCACACTCTTGTGTTGAGGTTCAGGAAAAGGGTCCCCGGGATGGAGAGGACCCAAGCCATGTACCAGGTGCATCCTCCTGCTGCCCATGGTGACGAGGAGCCTTCCCGAGGGCGTCCGGTGCCCATCAGTCGGTGACCTTCTCTACTCGGTTCCAGCAGCAAGCTGAATCTGGGCTGAGGCGTTTCCATGGGGACCGTTTTCCTGGGAAGGACGCCCGTTTCCCGTGATCCTGTGCCAGTGCTCCTCAAGCCCCAGCCCAGACCTGGGACACGGGCGCCAGCCCTCCATACATTCCCTTTTTAAGAAAATGAACAGAAGAGCCCAGGAGACGCTGGAATGCCAAAGCACTGGTGCTGTGTTATGTCAGAGTCACTGCCCCTTAATGCTGGTGGTGCCGTCAGCAGCCATCAGCGAGCAGGAGACCAGGGCTGGTTCCAGAGAGAGCTTTTTAGCCAGTATCTAGATTTGTACCAAGTGAGCTCTTGCCCTTGGCTTAGCTTTGCTGTGTTTTTATTGCTGGATTTATGGAGGTCTCATTTACAGTCATGCGGCCAGGCTCCTCTATAGACAAAGTGCCGGGATACGCAACACACATGCACAACTGTGAAACTTCCACCCCGAAGCCAGACGTGGCAATGCTCACCTGTAGTCTCTGCACCTGGGAGGCTGAGACAGGAGGCTCGCTTAAAATTCGAGGCCAGCCTGAACTACGTAGGGAGACCCTGTCTCAAAAAAAGAAAGGAAGGAAAGAATCACCACAGTTGAGACACCTAGAGTGTTTCCATCACCTCCCGAGTTCCCAGGTGCACCTGAATCCTGCCCCTGCCCCAGCTGCTGGGATCCCCCCGACCGTGGTGGTTTTCGGAGGAGGCAGCCTTGAGTTTGCACAGGGCTGTGAGGAGACAAGGACAGGACTCAGCTCACGAGTACTCTGGGGTCAGTGCCTTTGTCTGCCTGAGTCCAGGCTCCTGGTGACGCGACTCCTGTCCTTCCAGTACCTGCTGTCCCCAGAGACCGTCGAAGCCCTCCGCAAACCCACCTTCGATGTCTGGTTGTGGGAGCCCAACGAGGTAAGTGCAGGCATCCAGGTCCCCGGGTCCCCGGGCCGCTGCCGGGGCTGCAGACCTCCGCGGAGGTTGCCCCTGCTCCTCCTCCACGCCGTCTCCCACCGTTCTCCCGAAGGACAAAGTGCTTGACTCCAGGTTTTAGTTCAGACCAACATCCCAGGCTCAGGCGGGCCGAGGAGACCACTGAGAAAGCCAGAATGGGGACCGAGGGGTTTTACCTAATTGATCCTATTGGCGAAACCCCACTGTACACCCCCAAAAGCACAAGCCCAGTTAGCATGGACCTCAGGCCCAGCTCGCAGCCCCCCAGAACCGCAAGACCTCTGCGGCCTTCACACAGCGCAGCAGCACAGGACGGCCACACTCGCCTGTCCTCTTTGTTGGGGTCACAGCCACAAAGTCTGCACCAAGCAAGGAAATGGGATCTGGCACCATCACAGTTCACAACTCGAGGCTTACACCGCCAGGGACGTGGTTGGGGAGCACGGGCTTCCGCCAAGCAAGCCACCTCCTCTATGTGGTCACCAGTGCTGGCCATGAAAGCAAGACCCGGCCTCCATCCACCCCTCCACCCAGCACCCACCCTAGGGTGCTACCAGCTCTGGGGGTGCAGGGATGCAGCGCAGAGACCCAAGGAGCGGTGCTGTGGCCAGCAATCCCCAGGGGAGCAAGGGGTAGCTGTGAAGGGAAGGGAAGGGGCGGCCTGGCCCCCTCGAGTTGGACACAGCCTGGCCACGGCAGGCGAGGCCACAGCAGGCCCAGGGCTGGTGGCTCCTGCCAGCGCTGCTCCTGATGAACCCTGGGGCGATCTGGCGTGTGGAGCTGCTTCCCCGGGCCTTCTGGCAGGCTGCAGAGCGGATGGATGTGCCCTCGCCTTCATTTCTTCTGCCCAGAAGCCTTTGCGTGAGGGTGCCGGTGCCCCAGGCTGATGAGAGCAAGGCTGCGTCCTCGCCTTCAGACCCGGAGTGTCTGGACAGCCGGCGGGCGAGCAGCGGGCAAGGTCTCTCTTGCCTTCCCAGGCAAGGCGCTTGTGAAGAATCCGGCGACTGCCGGTGATAAACTGGGGTGTGCAGAGACAGCTTGGTTGCTTTCAAGTCCAGGATCCCGGGAGTTGGGTGAGATCAGCAACAATGAACCGCTAAAGGCACAGGGACACACACACACAAAGAGCTCCAGCAGCCACCAGCCGTGAGAGTGACAGCTCTGCCCAGGGCCGGCCGGTGGTTTTCCTACCTCCCTTCCAGCAGGGACAGCGTCCCACACATCCCACCCAGAATGAGGACAACGCCTGGCACTGCAGTGGCCCCGTGGTCTTCTCCAGGGCTGTGACAGCAAGCAGGGCTGCCCTGCCTCACACGGGAGCCCGGTGTTGCGCCCACCAGCCCTGCACCCTCCTGCTGCTGGAACACTCAGCCCTGCCAGGATCCCGACTGCCGCCATGGGAACAGAGGCATCGCTCCGGCTCCAAAGCTACCATGTTCCCTGCATGAGAGGCGCCAGATGGCTTCGTCTGTCGGCTGCCTCCTCCCTTGACTCTGATTTCGCAGTAAACACACCGGCTCTGCGGGGTCGCCTGCTGTCCCAGACAGCGGGGCTGGTGGCTCTGGACTGCGAGGCTTCCTTATTTGTATTTTCCATGATGGGGCCTTTGTCACACAGTGCACGGGGGTGGGAGGGGTGGAAGCGCTGGCTCCGCGGTCCCCAGCACAGGGTGTGGCCCCAAATCCCACTCGCCTCTGGGAGGAGGGTCGGGAGGAGCCGGTCCCACCGAGCCCCAAGGAGCAGAACCTCATGGTGCCCGGGTGCAGGCAGCCACAGCTCCCCCATTCCTGCCTCCCACACCTGCTGGGTCTTCCCCTGGGTGAGGGTCCTGGCTGTGAGGACCTCAGACCGTGCTGCTGGAGGCCAGGGATGTAGGCCATGGGTAGAGCACCTGCCTGGAATGAAAAACAAACGAAAACAACTGTGCTGCTGGTCTGCCAAGACTTTCTCCTGGGTGGAGGCAAAACAGTGCTCAGAGTGGTTCTTTGGGAGGAGCAGGGTCACCCTGCCAGCCCAGCCACCACCCACCAACTCTCCTGGGCTCCTACACCCCACCAATGGCCCTGAAAGGCGTCCGGCAGCCCCCACACACCTGCCACCAGGTCTGCTCTCAGGCTGGTGTGCACCCCCTGGGACAGACCCAGCTGCGGTGCCCCAGGCCAGGTCGGGGGCTGCAGGGGACACCAGTCCCCCACCCCACCCTGTCTACTGCTGAGCACCGGCCTCGCCCACCCACAGATGCTGAGCTGCCTGGAGCACATGTACCACGACCTGGGCCTGGTCAGCGACTTCGGCATCAACCCTATCACGCTCCGGCGCTGGCTGGTGAGTGCACTGCCCGCTCTTGCTGCTCCTCCCAAGCCTGTGCCCACGCTGAGGCCGAGGAGCCCTCACGGAGGGACACTCCTTCCCAAGGACACATGGCTCCTCTGTCCTCGCTGGCCCCGTCCCTAAGCACCCACTCTGGGACCCAGGGGTACAGCACAAACCAGACGGGTGGAGAAGCACACAACGTGCATGCACCTGTGCGTGAGTGTGTGTGTGAGTCTGAGTGTGTGAGTCTGAGTGTGTGTGTGTGAGTGTGTGTGTGTGTCTAGCAGATCTTTTCATAAACAGCAGCATACTGCTCAGAACCCAGTGTCGAAGACTATTACCTCCTGCGGTCCCGAGGCCTGCTGTGGCCCACCACACCCCTTGGGGACACCTCAGCCTGTGTGTGTCCCCATGTGCCATGGGGCTTCCCAGGCTCAGAAGCCACCTGGTGCATACCTGTGGAGACCGCAGCACTGTGGGCCCTGGGTGTGGTGAGAACCAGCCGGGACTGCCCAGACGTGGTCCCAGGACGTCTGCAGGGCAGGCGGTGGTGTGGGGCTCATCCGTCCCTGTCCCCCTGCACTCCAGCTCTGTGTGCATGACAACTACCGGAACAACCCCTTCCACAACTTCCGGCACTGCTTCTGTGTGACCCAGATGATGTACAGCATGGTCTGGCTGTGCAGCCTGCAGGTGAGTCCTGTCGGGGGAAACAGCCAGCTGGGATGGCAGCACCTGTCCCCACACCCCCAGAGCCTGGCTCCCCGCCCACCCCGTGAGGCTGCTCCTGCCTAGGTCAATAGCAGAGCTGGTGCAGCGGATGTGGTAACAGGAGTCTGTAATCCCAGCACAGGTTCAAGCCCAGCCTAGGCAATTTAGCAACTTAGCAAGACCCTGCCTCAACACTGAAAAAAGGGCTGGAAGTGGAGCTCAGTGCAAAGGTCTGAGGTTCGATCCCCATACTACAGAAACACGCAGTGCGGCCTGAGCTCCCTGCCCTACCCCAAGGTCTTGGGGCGGGGGTGGTGGCCTCACCCTGCCTTGCTGCCATCACCACATCACCCCCTCACTGTCCTCCTTCCCAGCGAGGAACTAAAACCCTCAACTCTGTCCCTTAATCCAGGAGAAGTTTTCCCAAATGGACATCTTGGTCCTCATGACGGCGGCCATCTGCCACGACCTGGACCACCCCGGATACAATAACACGTGTGTGAGGCCCCTCCCCTCCCTCTGAGCTCCGCTCTGCCCCCAAGGCCCCCAGACCCCAGCTCCGCTTCAGGGGGGCGGGATGCTGTGCACACTTTCTGACTCCTAGGCCTCCCATTTTGGAGAGCAGGTCCTTCAGACGCCACAGGTGTCTAGGCTGCTTTGTCGACCTGGCCCCAGGCTCAGTGGGCACAGCACAGCCCGCGGAAGAGGCAGAGGGAGCAGGTGGTGGGGCCAGGGGACACCGAGCCCTCCGGCCTCTGTCGGGCAGAGTGCTGTCCCTGAGCCCTCAGGGTCCAGCAGGTGGCCTGGGTGTGCTTTCACGGTGACACCTTGGTCCCTCCCGGCACATCTGCGTGTGTGCAATGACAGCAGATGTGACTGAGGTCCGTGTTGTCCATAGTCGAGTCCAGAGCGGGTCCCCGGGGGAGGCCACTGGTGTGTCGTCACCTAGGCCCCAAGCTGTTCCCTCTGCCCCAACACCCAAGCCTGAGCTCACGTGAGACCTGTCAGTAGGACCTAAAACTTGGGACACCTGGGGACAGGGCAGCAGGGCAGAGTGCGCAAGACGCCTGTCACACACCTGGGTACACAGGTGCCCCTGTGCGGCGCCTGACCCCTGCTGTGCATCCCAGGTACCAGATCAATGCCCGCACCGAGCTGGCCATGCGCTACAACGACATCTCGCCCCTGGAGAACCACCACTGCGCCGTGGCCTTCCAGATCCTGGCCCGGCCCGAGTGCAACATCTTTGCCAACGTGCCGCCCGAGGGCTTCAGGCAGATCCGGCAGGTGGGTGCAGGGCTCTGCATTCGTGAGGGGCAGCGTGTGGGGGACGGGCAGCATCCCCCGGCCTGTGGCTGGAGGCCTCTGGCAAAGCAGATTCCCCGGGACGCTGGGACCTCCCTCCTGCCCCGTGTCCACCTGGGCCCAGGATGGAGCCCCAAGAAGTGGGGCGGGGAAGTCACTGCCCTGCCCCGGACATCCCAGTGGCCTGTACCCCATGGCCACAGCCTGCCCGGCTCCCTTGGAGATGAGACTGTCTGTGCTGCAGACCTGCCCAGGGGTCGCTGCCCTGTAGTCTCAGCACTGGCTCCTGCCACCCCACCAACCTACCCCATAACCATGCCCACCGTCACTAGCCTTCCACAGGAGGGGATCACACCGTGACCCCCAGGGGAACCGGGGTGGGCCGGAAGGGAGCCGATCTCCCGTGGCTGTGACCTTCCGTGGCACAGGGTCTCTGGTTCCAATGTGGGACCTCTGGGTCTCATTCGGGTGGCCACGTGGGCCCTCAACCAAGGACCAGGATGGCCAGAGCCGGCAGGGCCCAGGAGGGACCCTCCCCCGGAATCCCAGAGATCAGGGTCTGCTGCCACCCCATCATGTACTTCCCACCCGCAGGACGGAGGGGCGCTCACGTGGGGAGGTCCCCAGTCTCCTGGGAGTGTCTGCGCCTTCCCACAGGACCCCACCTGCTGAGCCCCTGGGGACGCGGCCCCCTAAGAACTGATGAGCTCTGCTCTCAGAGAGCCTGTGGCTGCAGCGCCCCTGTCTGCGCCCAGAAGGGCAGAGCCACCGCCATTTCTCATTCCAGTCACCATTGAATCACCAATTCCGGTACCGATTCCCAGGCCCAGGCTCTCCGCGGGGCCCCGGGAATCAGCCACGCTGAGCTGTGGCCCACTTCCCTCTGCAGTGGGTAGAGGGGCAGCTGCAAAGAGAGAACCCCAAAGGGCCTCCCAGCACCTGCCTGTGCTAGAGTACCCCACCTGTGACACAGCACCCCAAAAGAGGAGGTTCGCCCGGCCGGAGGAGCAGCACCCCTAGACTTCTGGTTTTCAAATAAGATTTTGCTGGGCTGGGGATTTGGCCACCTGCCTCACACGTGCAAGGGCCAGAGTTCAATTCCCCCGTACCAAAAAAATAAATAAACAAGACTTTGCTATCTCAGGAGGTGGCACACACGTGTGATCCGAGCTACTCAGGAGGCTGAGGCAGGAGGATAACAAATTAGGCCCAGCCTGGACAATTTAACAAGAACCTGTCTCAAAATGTAAAATGAGCTGAGGTGTATCTCAGTGGCAGAGCACTGTCCAGCATGTGCAAGGCCCTATGTTCCATCTCCACTGCTGCAAAAGAAAGAAAAAAATTTCTTCTGAGGGCAAAAATCAATTGTCTCAATTTTTAAAAAATATTCTGTCATTGGGCCAGGAGTTTGGCTCAGTGGTTCTGCTGCCTCCCTCATAAGCACAAGGGCCCAAGTTCGAATCCCACTACCAAAAAAAAAAAAAAGTTCTGTTAATGAAGATTCTGAAAGGTAACTGAATATGAGTACATCCTTCATTAATAACAGAATTCAATCTTTATAGAAAATGCATAATTCAAAACACAAACAGTACACTTGCAATTCCTTAGATTGATCACCCTGGCTTTTGTATTTCTTTTCCTGGAGAAGCAGAGAACCATACCTGGCACAGAGGTGCTCTCTAAGCATGGGATGGATGGATGGATGCTGGATGGGTGGGTGGGTGATGGAGGGATGGAGGGATCATAACATGACAGAGGTTAAAAGGCAAGTGAGCCTGAGACCTTTCCCACGCCCTGGAGGATTCTACCAGTCCTCTGAAAGTGACATTTATCCTCCTAAAAGGACAGGACCCAAACAGTCCATAGAGTTCCCACCACCTTGAAACAGATATATTGGAGACCACTTTTTAACATGGGCTTCCAAGGGTGCTAGACATTCAAGCCACAGCAGTGATATGATGTTTATATTTAAAAACTCTTGGGCTGGGGATTTAGCTCAGTGGTGCTGTCACCTGCTTCGCAAGTGCAAGGACCTGAATTTGATCCCCAGTACCCTCCACAAAACCCAAACTCCTTATGCTCTCCTTTATAAATGTGTTAATAAGGATGTCATTGAATACATGCTAACTGTGATCATTTCCAACACACACACACACACACACACACACACACACACACACACACAGTAGGTCAGAGAAAAAATACTCTTGGAAAATCAGTTCTTGACATCCAGCGACAAGATCTGGAAGGAACAGACCACATATCTAGACGGCCACATCTTGGGGAAACTTTTATCCTTGGCTAAACCTGCTGGACTCCTCGGGTAAGCACAGGGACCTGTTGGGCTCTCTGTAACCTGCGAGTCGGTCATCACGAGGGCCCGTGGATGTGGCACGACGTCCCCAGCACGCGTGGACAGCAGCCACACGGTGTGGGCACGGAGGCCACTGTGTGGAGCGAAGGCCCTGTCCACCCTGGGAAGGTGGCAGAGATTGCGTCCCATGCTAAGACTCTGTTCTCTCGCCATGCAGGGCATGATCACGTTAATCTTGGCCACTGACATGGCAAGGCACGCGGAGATCATGGACTCTTTCAAGGAGAAAATGGAGAATTTCGACTACAGCAACGACGAGCACCTGACCCTGGTGAGTGGGCTGGTTCTGTCTCTGGGGGCCGCAGGGTGAGCTCAGACCGTGCAGCTCGGACTGGAAATCCACAAGCCGGAGCCTGCAGCCTGGCCTGGGAAAGAGCCGCCCAGAGTCCACCTTTGGGGGCACAGCCCCTACGAGGCTGGCCTTGGCAGGGCCACCCTCCGACATGGCTGAGGGCAGCGTTTCCCAGGACAGGGAGGACCCAAGCGGCCCCCTGAATGGAGCGCAGTGCCTGAGCTTTTCCTTCCCACGAGCAGAGAAAGCTCATTATGCTGCACCTCGTCTAAATGCAAAGAATGCTTTCTTTTAAAATTAACTGCTTGAAACCAGTGTGGTCCCCATGCACGGCTAAGAGGCTGATTAATGGACACCCTGCTCAACAGGGCTGAGCCGGCCGTCCCTCCCAGGGCCAGCCTCGGGGTCACGGCTGGCACTCCCGGAGGAGCGGCCACTCAGGTCTGACCGTGAGCCGCGGGACGAGTTTCCTGCCCTGAGTCAGGGCCTCGGAGAAGACCTTGTCCCTGACATGGGAAGTGGGGCATCCAAGCGTCCACAGAGAGCACCGAGTCCTGGGCCCTGAGACACGTTCCCGAGATAACATTTCATTCATAAATCAGGCACAGGAAGAGACTGACAATAACTAGTGATAAAGCAGAACCATTATCACAGCCTGCTGTGAGAAAATCACTACCGCGCTGTGCTTCAGAACCATTAGTAAGTAAAATGCAATCTGATGACGGGGGATCCCCTCGGCAAGAAGGCAGGAGTGTTGGCAGTGAGGACGCCCTGCACAGGGACGAGGCACGTCCTGCGGCCTGGCTGCCTCTTCCTAAAGCCCCGTGGGTCAGCCCCACCAGGCTCCTAGTAGGACCAGGTACCATCAGGGTACCAGCACCCTGTGAGTCATGGTGGGCACAGGACAGCGTTGTAGGGGGTTCCGTATGGGCTGCAGGGCCAGGAAGGCTGGAAGGAGGAGACCCAAGCCACGCTGAGGCTGCCGCAGGACAGGGCAACCCAACTGCCACAGGGAGGCACACATGCAGTTTTCTGATTCCAGGATTGGGGTGCCAGGGTCAGCAGGGCAGGGCTGCGGCTCCCCCAGTGTTCCGGGGAGTGGGGTGCTGAAGCTGGTGCCCTCCAGACTGAGATGAGGGTCCCTTTTCACCCTGTTTGATTTTATTTTGGTTTTTTGAGGCAGGGTCTCACTGTGTAGTCGAGGCTGGACTTTAGCTCACAGAGATACCCCTGCCTCAGCCACCCAGGTGCTGGGAATACAGGCACTTGCCACCATGCTGAGCCACTCTGCATTTCTGAAGACTCCACCTCATTCCTCAGGGGTCCTTAGTAGCCCAGCTCAGTGAGTCACCTCTGCAGTGCTGGGGAGCAAACCCAGGGCCTCGTGCCTGGTGGACAAGAGTTGAGTGACATCCCCAGCCAGGGCTCACATTTCAGTACACTTTGTATTATGTGTATTGATTTATTGGCTTCCAGTACTGGGAATTGGACCCAGACCTCAGCATTGAGCTGGCTTTTGTTTGTTTGTTTGTTTGTTTGTTTTGAGACAGTCTCACTAACTCACTAAATTACCCAGGCTGGGCCTCAACTTGCAACCCTCCTGCCTCAGCCTCCCAAAGTGCTGAGATTACAAGCATACACCACTGTGCCTGGCTTTTAGCACCCTTTTTAACCGTTACATCTTAATAGCATCTTCTCTCTATTTTTCCTGTAACCCCAACAACCAAGAAATTATTTTTGAGCTGGGCAGCTGGTGTTAGCCAAATGTGCGCCCTAAGTGCCTCATTCTCCAGGTGAAGCCGGAAGCCGGAAACCCAGACTGTAAGGGCTGCACCACCCAGCGAGGCCCCGCCTCCCACC